GTCTTGGACGTCAGAAGCTGTATAGCCAGGACATACAACCTGCGCATTCGGCGCGGTGGTGTCCATGACGTTGGGAGTAACGCTCGGTGCATAGTTGATGGAAGACGGTAGGATCGGCGTGGGCGGAAAAGGTGGTGGATACTGTGGTTTCTGACCTGGGCATTGGAGTGTCAGTGGTGCTGTCCTCGTGTAGTCGATTGTAGGGCATACTGACCCGCAACAATGGCGGGCAGAGCCATTGCCAGCGTCCTAGAGGCACGCATTTTGGACGGCCGCACTGATCTTGATGGTGAGGATGATGTAGACAAGACTTTCTGCAATGGACGGGAAGGGAGGATGCGCGGTTATCAACAATGCAGAAACGGCATTGAATTGCGGACGATGGACGTCATGGTACAAGCTTTACCTTCGAGTTGACGCAGAGGAAGTGGGAGCTTGGTTCATGTATAAAAGCCTGTCTCCACACTGAGACTGACGATTGCCTAGGAGACACATCTCCAGCATCCTGGGTTGGCTCCGCCCATTGCACAACCCGGTAGATTGTATGGGTGTTCGTCTTGACGAGGGATTGCTGTCGACCTCATGATTATTATTGCTTTCCCAAGTCCCCGGGCTGTACCAGAGAGAGCTCCGGTCGTGATTAGCTTCTCCACACACTCGGCAGAATACCCGGCGCGAGGGCGCGTTCCTGACGATCTTGAACCTTGTGGATGGCGATCTGCGGAGAAGGCCAGAGATCATTTCGATCAGCAGATTTACGTCCCAGCCTGATGGGTAATCGCAGGCGCATTTGTCAAGATCGCTGTAGACGAGGCCAAACATTTCGAGATCGCGCGGATTTGTTCGAAAAGAATCGGCTAACTTATCTCTCCTGGTTGTTTACGGATAGGCTCGTACGCATTGCGCGCGGATTGAGTTGCTCATAAGACTCCACTTGCTGTTCGTCCGTGCAATTCCGTCTCCTCCAAAACTCTACGACTTGTGTTGTCAGATACGTCTCAGTGGTTTCTGCCCAAGACTGCGACGTGACCGTTGAGATTGATACGGGGCCAGCCGCAGTGACAAGTTACCTTACGCCGGCGCCGCAATTCTAGAAGATCCCGGGGTCCTTGAGGGGGGGGGTCGAAAGACTTCGTTCGGGCCTGTAAGAACGGC